TTAAGGTTCACTTTGAGCCCATCTTAAAATCTCTTTTCCTGTCCTCCAACATTACATTTTCCGTTCAGAGCAGAGCAACTGCTTTGGGAGATGGGGGTCGGGCATCCGGACAATGTGGCTGGTCCAACGGAGTTGATGGTGGAGGACCATCACTTCAATGCTGGTGGTATTTGCTTCTTCCAGCACGCTGACATTTGTCCGCTTGTCTTCCCAAGAGATTTGCAGGATTTTTCAGAGGCAGTGCTGATGGAATCAATCCAGGAGTTGCATGTGATGTCTGTAGATAGTCCACTTCTCGCAGGCGTATAACAGGGTTGGGAGGACAATAGCTTTATAAACAAGCACCTTGGTATCCCCTCTGCTTAATTCAGAAGAATGCTGCACTCGCAGAGCTCAGGCGGTGTTGTATTTCGGTGTCAATGTTGACTTTGCGCATCCACACACCACTCATGCAACACAAGAGTTGTTGACTTCATTTGTTTGGGATGTTTTAAGCCACCTCTCTCACAGCCCCAATCTCGTACCCAGCGACTAACATCTGTTCACTAATTTGAAGGAACACCTGGGTGGAAAACACTTTTCTGACAATGATGAGGTGAAAATTGAAATGATGAACTGGCTGAAAAAGGTGGCGGGAGACTTCTATGGCACAGGTACCAAAAAACTCATTGCAAGTATGACAAAAATATATTGAATTGAATGGTGATTACATGGAAAAATAATGTAATACCTATGCTATAATCCATGTTTTATTAAAATATATTCATTCTTTCTCTTTTAAAAAAATCTTGTATCCTTACTTTCCGGATATCCCTCTCATATATATATATATATATATATAAATCTAAACTATTCTGTTAGATTCTGATCTTCTAAACAGGCAATATCTGAAATGTTTATGCGATTGCTATCTGGGCGCAAAGCAGTGAATCATTGGCGTTCCAATACATTGAAGGCTGCTGTGATCATGAAACTATCCTCGAGGGAGCTGCCTGTTAGGATTTTCTGCTCTTGAAATAGCTCAGGCTTGTTGACCTTTCGGTTGTGTCTGCACAACTTCTAATCATCTACTTTAGAAGAGGCATCCAGCTCTTTTCCAGCTCTCCATTTTGGGGGGGGGGGGGGAAATCTATAATCACTTGGCTCTATTTTTACTACACAAGGAGGCCTGCAAGAATAGGTGCCAAAGGTATTCTGCTGCTTCTGGGTCCCGGTTGAGAGATGATGATGATGATCATCATCAACATCATCATCATCTGACATCACCTTTGACACAAAATAATAAGCGCAGATGTGGGGAACTTTTGGGCTGGGTGTTGCCAAGTTACTTAATGCAACCCCTAGATTTCCCAGCCAATTCTGGAAATTACACCCCAAAATAACTTTTCTGAGTGACAAACTGAGGACGCATCTACACGTTAGGGTTAATGCAATTTGACACAGCGATAGCTGCCCTGGCTCAATGCGATGGACTCCTGGGAGTTCTAGTTTAGTGAGGCAACAGCACACTTTGTCAGGGAAGGCTAAAAGCCTTATAAAACTACAACTCCCATGATTCCATAGCACTGGCCCATGGCAGATAATGTGTGGTCAAACTACATTAATTCTACAGTGCAGATGCACCTTAGAATTAATGCACCTTAGATGCCAACTTGCGTTCTGTTAAATATATTGCTAACCACCCCAAATCTCAAAAAGTATGTCACTAGTGACCTTTAGTAACACTAAGTATGTGGCTAGTTGTGCCATTGCTGCCTGGGGGCTATAGTTCTTAGTGAAAGAAACATGGACGTGGCATCTTTTCCCCAGGGGATTGCTTCTTGCCTTCCTTTAGAGAACTGGAACTCTCAAGGATCAAGACACTATAGATAACTTGAAATAGGCTTTATTGTTTACAAAGAGTTATCTTTCTGAGGCAATTAAACTTGATGTTCCAAAAGTGGGTAAAGAAAATATACATTACAGTCTTTTGTTGTCTTGGGTCCAAGGCGTTTTCCAGCTGAGTAGCTTCCAAGTTCCCTCTTTCTCAATGGCTATGAGGTCGGAACATTCACAACCCCAGTCCAATTGCCTATATTGAAGACACAAAATCTTCCTCTTGATGCCAAAGGACTGGTTTGAAGGCGCTTAAGATTCCTCAACATCGTCGAGATGAGTTGGGCATGAAGTATGAATCTTAAGGGCAAAACCTAAGAATTGGTGGTAAGAGATGACTTGACTAAGGGCTTAGAGCCAAGCCTTGATCACGTCCATCTGTTGAGTTGTTTGGTGGTGGAATGAAAAAGAAAGCACTGCCCTACTCCCTAGGAAGGGATGGAGCCAAACAAATGAGCTGGGGGAGCAATTCAACTGATGCAAAACAACATTGATAGAAAGCTGTAGATAACCAAAGAGTTCAACTATATATTTACATGAAAGTGGCGCCAGTCGCGCCGTCACACTAGTTATCTCAAGTCCTAGTAAAAATATGGCTAGCCACCTTGAATCTCATTGAAGAAGTGACTTGCTGTCTTGAATCCAATTAAACAATATGCTTGAATTCTATTTTAAATCTGCTTATTCCAATGTGTTTTCAATGATTGAATGTAAGATACTCCCTGACTAAACTTTGCATAAAATGACCTCAGAAGCACTTTATTTCATGGTTAGTGCAATTAAATCCTCCCTCATCCCCGGATCCTTCTCCTCCTCCCCGATAATTTACATTGTCCTGTCTCCCAGTGTTTTAAAATTTTATCTTTGAATTTGGCCCTGCCCGGTGATCCTTTGCTGGAGCGACAATCCATACTTTGTTTATTATTATTATTATTATTATTATTATTATTACCTATTGCTGCTATTGCAGTGTAAACTGGTAGAAATTGGTAGGTAATGATAGTGTGACTGATAAAAATTTGGTTGAGATAGTGCTTGCATTCAGGGGCGGCTCGTCCATTACGCGAAGTAAGCAGTCGCAGAACACTTTTTTTTGCCAGGGGCGCAGAGGCGCCTTTGTAAATGCCCCTCGACTGCCACTCGAGGAGTGCTCCCTCAGCTCACAACAGCCCTAGCAGTCCGGGGGAAGCCTCGGCTTTCTTGCCTCGCTGCCAGGCGATCCTCTTCCCAAAGGGGCTGGGCCCTTGAGCCTCGCCTAGCCCCTCTCGTTCCTCGCCTAGCCCCTCTCGTTCCACCGGGTGCGCGAGCAGAGCCAGCGCTCAATTGTTCTCCGCGTTTGATCCCTTCCCCATGACCGGCTCCCTTTCCTGATCCCCTGGCACTCCACCTGCCTCCTCTCCTCTCCCCAATCCGTGGGTGGGCCAAGGGGCGGAGCCGCCGCGCCTGGCCCGCTTCGGGTCCAGAGGCGTGTCTGAAGACCCCAGCGTGCACCAAAAGTCACCTCTTCTCCTGACTTTCTCTTCAGCCATTGGGACCAAGAGAGAGAGAGAGAGAGAGAGAGCCCCTCCGGCTGAAGGTATCTCCCACCTCCGCTCCCTCCTTTGTTTTTGCGCCTACCTTCAGGAAAGGTGGGCATCTCCACCTCTGTCTCTCTCTCTCTCTCTTGGTCCCAATGGCTGAGGAGAAAGTCAGGAGAAGAGGTGACTTTTGGTGCACACACTGGGGTCTTCAGGCACGCCTCCGGACCCAAAGCGGGCCAGGCAAGGGAGCAAGTGCGCAAGTGTAGTTACTGGGATGTATAGTTCACCTACAATCAAAGAGCATTCTGAACTCCACCAATGATGGAATTGAACCAAATATGGCACACAGAACTCCCACGACGAACAAAATATATATATCAATAATTGGTTAGGGGTGGGAGGGCACCAAAATACTGTTTGCTTACTGTTGAAAATTACCTAGGGCCGCCTCTGCTTGCATTTCTGGAGGGACTCTGTGCTGTCGCACGCTGGGCCTGTGCATTAGACTGTACACAGGACATAAATTCTCTGTGCCCAACGGGACGCCGGGGCTGCCTCAGAATAAAGGCCCTTAGATTCCCCCAAACAGAGTCTTTAGAATGCTTAAAGTAAGTCCAACAAAGTTCTTTTATTAAGGAACAAACAGGTACTTTAACGGTTTTCTTAACAGTCTATAGGCTCTTTCAATCTTGTCCACTAGGAACAGGCACTGTCTTCTCAACTGTAACTAACTGATGGGGAAATCCTAGCTTCTAATCTGGGCAGTCTGTACTTGCCTCTGTTGACGTGGAGCCCCTGCACCCGGTACCAACTGCGTCTGGCTTCCGCGAGTGACCCTTGCCTCAACAGAGCTTTGTAGACCTCCAGGGAAAAAGAAGGAGTTCAGGTTGCTGTGATGGCCGGCTGGAGTCCCTCAGCCAAGCTGTGGCTGTATGTCTCCTGGCCAAGCCGTAGGGCTGTATAACCCCGGCCAAGCTGTAAAAGACGAAGCTTTTCTACAGGAGCCACTTCGTTCTATGTCCTGTGCGAAAGGCTTCTCTGTGAGAACTAACTCAAAATGGCTTTTTTCCCTCCAAAACTCAAAAAGGGGCGGGACCAGGGAACCTAACTATAACTGGCAGGTGGCTTACCCTATAAATGCAAATTATAACAGGAAACCCCCTGCTACAAATCCCAAGCATGGGATTGCACACAAACATGCAAACACAGCAAATAAATCTGGAGCTCCTGGAACAGCTGTTCCAGAACAGACTCTGATTTTTTTGCTTCTCATAGAATTTGGTGCAGCAGTAAAAACTTCATGGGCAAACCAGTTTTTTCCCCCCTTCAACCTGTATAATTTTGGGGGGTGGTTTAAATCCCTCAACTGACTCCATGGCAACGGGCTTGATTATGGGAACCCAGGCCCCAATCTGTGCCTCTTCCCCTCTTGCTGCTCTGCCAGTCCCTAGCATGGCTGAGGATGCGGTTGCCGGGGCAACGGGAGCCCCAGCATCCCGGGTCGCCTAGCAACCGTTGCCCGGGCTCTGGAGCATCCTCCTCCTCCTCCTCCTCCTCCTCTTGCTGCTGCTCCTCCTCTTTCTCCCTCCCTCCTCCTTTCCCTCTTTCTCTCTCCTCCCACCGGAGAAAGAGGCTGGGAGCCGGCCAGGCGGGGAATGCGCAAGTCCCATCCCCATCATGGCGCTCGGGCGGCGGGTGCTGCTCCTCTTGTGGCTCCTTTTCCCCTTGCTCCGTGAGTAGTTCTGGTTCTCCTTTTCTGCCTTTAGAGAGGGTGGGGGGGGGGGGTCTCCTGGAGTCCCCCATCAGGATCCAAGCCTGAGGGAGGAAAGAGTCTGGGGAGCAATGGGAAATGGCACTAGCCTTTCCAATGATGCTTCCTTTGGGGGAAATTCCCTTCCTCACTCCACTCATCTCCATCATTATCAGTTGGGAAGTTTTCTGAGACAGGAGAGAAGCTATGGATACCGCCTGTGGCTGTGAGCATTGGAGTTGTTTTTGTGATGTGGAAAAAGAGCTGGAGGAGAGAAGAGGGAAAATATATATTACTAGGTTGCTGTGAGTTTTCCAGGCTGTATGGCCATGTTCCAGAAGCATTCTCTCCTGACGTTTCGCCTGCATCTATGGCCGGCATCCTCAAAGGTTGAGAGGTCTGTTAGAAAATAGAGGAAAAAAGCTATTACTGTTTAGGTTTGAAAGCAAAACTGTGTTGCTTTGTGGCTCATATTTGGAGCAAAGATTGGACAGGAAAGTAAAGTTTGAGGATTCTTCCAATGCCGAATGGCCCCTTTAAATAGCCTTCATTCTGGGATTGTTATTTATTTCTTTGTTTATTTACAAAATTTATATGTCACCCTTCTCATCCCAAAGGGGTGGGAAGAGTGGCTTACAAGATAGATAGATAGATAAATAGATAGATAGATAGATAGATAGATAGATAGATAGGGGGGAGGGAAGGACAAGGAAGAAAGAGGAGGATAGATAGATAGATAGAGTAGATGGATGGATGGATGGATGGATAGAGGGATAGATAGATAGTAGATAGATAGATAGAAGATAGATACCGGCCCGTAGCCAGGATTTTGCTTTTGGTGGGGGGGGGGGGGCTGAGTCTGAGTGAAAGAGGGTCTACCCTAGCAAACCTTTTGTATTGTTACCCCAATACCCCCATGCATATGGGATATATTGAGCATGGTGATCAGATCATGATATGAATAAACATAACAGTTTAAATAATGTACCAGTAAGGCCTTTTCGCAGACCACCATGAGAATTTGGGGGGGGGGGCTGAAGCCCCCATAGGCAAGGGTTCCTTGGTTATAGATAACCACCACAATAACTTTATTTATTACATACTAGCCGTCCCCTGCCAAGCGTTGCTGTGGCCCAGTATGGTGATCTGGGAAATAAAGAGAAAGTGTTGGTTTCTAATATATGTAATTTCTTTATGCTTGTGGGTAAACAGTATTTCTTGCTGTTTTTTGTCAGTGTTGATGTGGAGAGTGTCTGGCTTGCCTACTCTGGAACATGCAACATATTATTGTCCTTCTTTAAGGGTCCCTTTCAAATCTATGATACAATATCTGTGTGTATTTGAATCATATCAATCTATCTATGGCTGGATGGTTCTTTGTTAGGAGGGCTTTGATGACGTTTTCTTGCCCTGGTGAAGGGAGTTGGATTGGATGGCCTTAAGTATTTTCTGTTGGTCATGGGGGTTCTGCGTGGGAAGTTTGCCCCGATTCTGTCATTTGTGGGGTTCAGAATGCTCTTTGATTGTAGGTGAACTGTGAATCCAAGTGACTACAACTCCCAAATGTCAAGATCTATTTTCCCCAAACTCCACCTGTGTTCATATTTCGGCGTATTGAGTGCTTGTGCCAAGTTTGGTCCAGATCCATCATTGTTGGGGTCCACAGTACTCTCTGGATGTAGGTGAACTACAACTTCCAAACTCAAGGTCAATGCCCACCAAACACTTCTAGTATTTTCTGTTGGCCATGGGAGGCCTGTGTGCCAAGTTTGGTTCAATTCCATCGTTGATGGAGTTCAGAATGCTCTTTGATTGTAGGTGAACTATAAATCCCAGCAACTACAACTTCCAAATGACAAAATCATAATTTTTTGAGTGATGGTCACTCCATGTGTTGTGAGACGTTTTGTTGCCAAATTTGGTGTGATTTCGTTCATTGGTTCTTTTGTTTTTAAGGTAGTCATTATGCACAGAGCATTTATATATATATATATAGAGAGAGAGAGAGAGAGAGAGACACACACACACACCTACAATATATTATATTACTAGCCGTCCCCTGCCACACATTGTTGTGGCCCAGTCTGTGTATATGTGCTTTGTGTGTGTATGTATGTGTATATATGTATATATGTGATCTTGTGCATGCATTGTAATGTATTTTTTGGCTTTTTAAAACCCTTCCACTGTGCTTTTCAGTGTTTTTATGAGTGATGGTCACTCATTGGCCTGATAGGTGTGTTGTATCCAAATTTGGTGTCAATTCGTTCAGTGGTTTTTGAGTTATGTTAATCCCACAAACGAACAATACATTTTTATTTATATAGATTAGCAGAGTACAATATGTGTAATATATAATTTATAATTAATGTTATTATATAGTGTTATTATTATATTGTATTACATTATAATATTGTTATCAATATTATATGTATATACAATATATTATTTTATTAGCATAGCACAATATTAGCATTATATATTACTATATTGTACTATACCACTATACTGTAATATTATTAGTAATATTACAAGTAATATATAATTCAGAATTAATGTTATTATATAGTATTATTATAATATTGTATTACATTATAATGTTATTATCAATATTATATGTCTATACAATATATTATATTATTAGCATAGCACAATATTAGTATTATATATTACTATAGTGTACTATACCACTAAACTGTAATATTATTAGTAATATTACATGTAATATATAATTTATAATTAATATTATTATGCTGTATTACATTATAATATTATTATAAATATATGTATATACAATATATTACATTATTAGCATAGCACAATATTAGTATTATATATTACTATATTCAACTATACTACTATACTGTAATATTATTGGTAATATTATGTGTAGTATATAATTTATAATTAATGTTATTATATAGTATTATTATTATATTGTATTACATTATAATATTATTATCAATATTAATGTATATACAATATATTATATTATTAGCATAGCACAATATTAGCATTATATATTACTATATTGTACTATACAACTATACTGTAATATTATTAGTAATATTACATGTAATATATCATGTATAATTAATAATATTATATTGTATTATTATATTGTATTACATTATAATATTATTATAAATATTATATGTATATATAATATATTACATTATTAGCATAGCACAATATTAGCATTATATATTACTATATTGTACCACACCACTAAACTGTAATATTATTATTAGTAATATTATTAGCATAGCTCAATATTAGTATTATATAGTACTATATTGTTGCTGGGGAGAGGGAAAATACATTGTTGAAAGATTTAAAGGGAAAATAATTACGTAGGGAATATTGAGGCGATACATAAATTGTTTACATTAATATTACTCCTGCCTATGTAGTAATTTTCAATATATGTGCCCATAAAGAGCAGAGGCTGGAATGCAACTACTGTATGTAGAAGTAAAGGTAAAGGTAAAGGTTTCCCCTCAACATGTAGTCTAGTCATGTCCGACTCTGGGATTTGGTGCTCATCTCAATTTCTAAGCCAAAGAGCCAGCGTTGTCCGTAGACGCCTCCAAGGTCATGTGGCCAGCATGACCGCATGGAGTGCCATTATCTTCCTGCCGAAATGGTACCTATTGATCTACTCACATTTGCGTGTTTTTGAACTGCTGGATTGGCAGAAGCTGGGGCTGACAGCGGGTGGTCATGCTGCTGCCCGGATTCAAACTGCCGACCTTTTAGTCAGCAAATTCAGCAGCTCAGCAGTTTAATCCACTGTGCCACCTGGGGTTCCCCAACTATGTAAAACGGAATTATATTTTAAGCAGAAGAGAAGTCAGTTGTGTTTACAATATTTTTTATTTACTTACCTACTTTTTTTAAAAAAAATATTGATAGAGTTGATTTGTGTGTTATTGCTTATATTTATTTATTTATCGTGTCATCAGCAACCGTACCATTGTATTACAATTCTAACAGAGCAAAACAAACACACAGATTAAAAAGAAAAAGAAAAAAAACACACAGATTTTGCAAATTTGGTAGTTGGTTAAATGTCCTTTGACCAGTATCTGGCCACTTGGAGTGCCTCTGGTGTTGCCGCAAGAAGGTCCTCCATTGTGCATGTGGCAGGGCTCAGGTTGCATTGCAGCAGGTGGTCAGTGGTTTGCTCTTCTCCACACTCACATGTCGTGGATTCCACTTTGTAGCCCCATTTCTTAAGATTGGCTCTGCATCTCGTGGTGCCAGAGCGCAGTCTGTTCAGCGCCTTCCAAGTCGCCCAGTCTTCTGTGTGCCCAGGGGGGAGTCTCTCATCTGGTATCACCCATGGATTGAGGTGCTGGGTTTGAGCCTGCCACTTTTGGACTCTCGCTTGCTGGGGTGTTCCAGCGAGTGTCTCTGTAGATCTAAGAAAACTATGTCTTGATTTAAGTCGTTGACGTGCTGGCTGATACCCAAACAGGGTATCATTGCTTATATGCTTTATATATGCATTATTGCTTATATGTGAGTTATATTAATTGTACTGTTTTATTTCCTTGCAGCTTTGTTGTTTACTGATGTGTTGTTGGTTTTGGCCTCATGTAAGCCATCCCGAGTCCCCTTGGGGAGATGGTGGTGGGGTATAAATAAAGTTTTATTATTATTATTATTATTATTATTGATTTGTTAGTTTTCGTCAGGTGCAGGAGCAAAATTATGGAGAGGGAATATTTTTGTGTTCGATTCTTGGGTTCTTTGGTTTTTGTGCCTGTGTTTTTATTTTGTTTATTTTTTCAGTTTCTTGGGTTTAAGTTACATTTTTAACATTAATTATTATTAATTATTAAAATTAATAATAATTAATAATATATATTAAATATAATAATTATATAATTTAATAATAATAATGATAATCAATAGTTCTTGGGTTCCCTGATGGGAATATATCCCCCACTTTTCCAGAGAACGGGGGAATGAGGAAT